ACAGACAGGTGTTCACTGCACTATTTTTCTTTTCTATGTTTGACTAAAATAAGTCAATAAGGTAAAAACTGGGATGGGATGGGGAGAGATGCTTGTAGGAAAGGTTGTGCCAATGCAAGTCTGTCTACACAGGGAGGCCAGTCCACCATCAGAGAAAACACCAGGACTCTTATTTGAGATTAAGATAATCAAAGTTGGGTGGGCTGCTTTGTGATTTTACTTTGGGCCATAGGAAAAAAGCTATCATTTCAATGCCAGCAGTGTTTTCTATAAAACATTGATACATTTCTCCCAGCTGGCTAGTCCATGTCTGTGACATGACAAAAGGCAGGTGGATTCATCCAAACTCTCAAAATGCTTATTTTGTTAAAAACCAATTTTGTGTGCACCTCAGCCCAGAACCCTGACAGCGCATGGTGAAGGAGCTTGGGTTTGCTTTGCATTCACATGTCCTGAGAGTAAACATTCCCAAACGCCAACACATACACTGGCCAATACTGACCTTTGGCTGACAGCGGGTAACTATCCTGCGCTGGAACAGTTTGTTGAATTCAAGGACTGCTCAGCTTCAGTTCTGCTGAGACTCTAGTCTGAGTGACTTCATCAAGTCACGCTCTACACAAAGCCTCCAAAACAAGAAGAACTGCTCTGCAGGCAGATCATGCATGACAAAGCACCCTGAGTTAAAGCGTTTCACCCAGTAGCTGTCAGTGACATTCCAGAAAATCTTGTAGGAAGTACCTTTATAAGTTTGCCTCTGAGTTTGTTCAGCTTTCCGTGCATACAGAAGATATCTTAGCTGAAGCCTCTGGAAAGCCCACCAACTTAAGGCAATGCTGGCATTGGGATGTGCTTGTGGGTGGTGGCCTATAATGGTCTGTATGTATGTATATTCAGCTAGAATAATGGGCTACATATATAAATAACCTGCCACACACACTCTCAACTGCCTGGACTGAGATAGTCTAGTCTATAGATCCCATGCAGCAAGGCAAAATGCCTGTCAAAAATCCCAGAACAAGAAATCCTTATAAGAACCAAATCCTCCACAGAGACATTAATAAATGTGAGAAATCTTCCTCCAGGACAACCCTTCTACCCCCCAGGGGGAAAAAAAAAGCAGTTTTCAAGTGGAGAAAAAAGTGATTTTCTGGGTAAAGAAACATAAAGACAGCAGTCTGAAGATTCACTGGAATTAGGGATGTGAAGTGAACAAAATCACCTCACAGCTTATCCTAGAGAATGGAGCTGGTCCAACAGGAAAACTAAACAGTACCTGTCATGAGAACTAGGGAAGCATCCCAGGAGAGGCACTGAGCCCACTGGGGATGTGGGGGGGCGCAGGAAGGGAAAAGATTACAACCTCAAAGAGGATATGGATTGTGCGTTTAAAATGCTCAGAAGACTGATTGCTATTTAAAATATGCTTTAAGAAGATAACAACTGATGACAGATGGAGCAGCCTCATCTTAACATACCATGATGTACCTCCCTTAGGGGCTGCAAGGTGACACTCTTATCATGGGAGCCTGGCCTTAAAGATTCCCCTCTTGACAGCTCTGCCAAACTGATGAAGTAGATTCTGTGACTAGCAAGACTAAAAGCCCAGGATAAAGCTAACGAGCTCAGAGATGCACTTCCCGAGACTACTTCCATCTCTTTCCTTTTCCCCAGCAAAGTCTAGTCCAAGTGTAATGCAGCCCCTTAGGAACTGCTTCCTCTTCACAGAAGTTAAAGAAGGAAAAGCACCACAGTTCTATTTCAACGGGACCAAGGAATCTGAGAGAAATGAAAGGCAATTACTGTTTCTGGGTCTTAGTCAGTGGGCTCCTCTTTGTCCAGCTGTGCCTGCTTCTAGGTAAAGGGATGAGGCTCTTGCTCTCATTTCCATTTCTATGCTCAGGGCAGACACAGCTTTCCAACTCTTCTCTCCACCACTGCTACCCATATCATCCCAGGACCTACCAGCCATTTCCACAAGCTTCTTCCACATCAAGCCTCACACTAAGCAAGAGTCTACTCTCTAGTACACAGAAAG